GGTACGTCCTTACTTCCGAGCCTAAATTGGATGTGACTGTCTCCGCTATAGACGGATTCAGATATAGTTTTTTGAACCTAGGGTCCGTGATTGTAGCATGGCAAAGCAGGGGGTTTCGTAAAAGCTTAGTGACCCTCTCTTGAAGGTTAGTTATAAGCTTTTGGCATAACTTTTGGGCTGTATTAAGATTTGGCTTGAGGTTTTTCAAAGATCTTTCGATAATAGACACCTGGGGGATAACAAGACTAGCAGTAATGTACTGGAAACCTGAGATCTCCTTTGTGGCCTCATCGAAAGGTGATAAAATTGTTACAATTTCAGTGATTAGTTTTATATCTGAACCAGAAATCATCCTTGGTGCTTTTTTAATCGAGGGATCTGCCAGTATTGCAGCTATATATGGGGCCATTAGTCTTTTAAGCATATGGTAGACAGAATTTCATCTGGTTGGTACGGATTGTACCAAAAGCTTCACTTCACCCTCTGACTTGCTCTCTTGTTCCTGCTCCATCCGTAACCTTTCCATGAAGAGATTGCTGTGCCTAGCGAAAGTGACTATGGTTTTTATTTCGTTTATTACATTTTTTAATGCTACATTGTTTATATCGTCTAGGCCATCTGTGACAACTAAATTTAATATGTGTAAAATAAAGCCGAGCTCACACTCGCCTCAGAAGCAGATGAAGATGCTTCCTGATCGCCTCTATGCAAAAAAGTTCCGATGTCCGCCAGTTCTTTATCCTAAGCAAAAACAAAATTCCCCTATTAATTCCCTTACTTAAATTTTTCTATGAAATGAGCTTACCTTTGGTTTATTTTCCAGATATTTTAGATGTTTATTTTTTAGGCGCTGCCTCAAATTCGTCGTGCCTCCTCCTGGTTTTGATTTGAAATTACATTTGATTTGCAAAGTTTTGTTCTTATAAAAACGGACTAGTGTAATTAAAAAAAGTATCTATATATTATATATATATATATATATATATATATATATATATATATATATATATATATATATATATATAAATCTAAAGTACGTGTAAATATTAAACTGTCTGGCAGCTTTTAAATCAATAGTTGACTTAAACAAGGTGATGCGTTATCTCCACTACTTTTTAACCTTGTATTAGAGAAAGCCATGAGGTCGGCCGAAATAAAAACAGAATTGCTATCGGTTCAAGGTCCCAAGCTGTTACTCGCATATGCAGATGACATAGATCTCATTGGAGACTTCATCCTATCCACGAAAGACATTTTCAACAAGGTGGATAGAACAACAAGTGAAGTAGGGCTGAAGATTAATGAAGAGAAGACGAAATATATATATGTATATATATATATATATATCCGGTTTTTTAGGCGTTACGCCTGTCCGGTAGGGATCTATGGAGGAGTATCACCGAGCCGCAAGCCCTTATCTCTTGCCGTACTGCTCCACCATAGGCCGATCAGATCCCAGCATATCCTAGTCTAAGCCGCAGATTCATCTAGAATTTTAAACTGCTGCGTTAGACTTTTTGTTTTCTGTACACCGAGCTTGGGCTCGATCCCACATCCACTAAACCATTCGACAGTGAAGCGAATGAGAGGCAGCCGCACAGCCCGCTGAGCTATCTGACCGACAGAAGACGAAATATATGTGTATAAATAGAACGACACGAAGAGACAGAATAGGACAAAATGTGACGGTCAACACCTTCAATTTCGAAAGAGTACTATCAATAGATCAATAGAAGAATACAATACACCCAGTATTAAGTATCTGGGGGCTCTAATCACAGCTGACAACGATGTTACTGAAGAAATAAAAGACAGAATCCAATCCGCAAACCGCTGTCTATTTGCACTGGATAAGCTCATAAAATCAAAAAATCTCACAAGATGTTCAAAGATTAAAATCTATAAATCCATCGTCAAACCTGTAATAACATAGGGATGCGAAACGTGGACCATAACCAAAGCAAACGAAGAAAAGCTCAGACGCTTTGAACGAAAAATTTTCGGACCTCACCATGATATCACCACAAACCAGTATAAGATCAAACCAATATCGAATTAAAAGCACACGACGCCGATATTGTCCAAGAAATTAAATCACATCGACTAAGATAGGCAGGCCACGTGCACAGACTGCATAACGAAAGACTTGTAAAACTAGTATGGGAGGAGATTCCCACAGGCAAAAAACCACTCGGACTTTCCAGAATGCGATGGAGATATAACATCCAAGCAGATCTCCGGAAAATGAACATTCCATTTGACCCTAGGTTGATGGAAGACCGAACAAATTGGAAAAAAGTTGTACAGTCAACCAAGACCCACCTAGGGTTGTAGCGCTACGTGATGATGATGTAATTAAAAAAAGTTTTAAATATTTTAGATCGTTTGTTATGTGAAAGTTTAAATTCAGCGTTTTTTAAGCATATTTCAAATGCCTTACATTTGTTTTCAAAACTCAATACTTAAATTTCATGATACACACACAATCACGCGAGGCGATCAACCCTACCCCTAGGGACATGTGTATACCACTGTAAGAGTGGGATCCACATGTCCGAAAATCAAACCGGTTACACCTCACTAGTTGAGGTGGTACCTATCTGACCCCCAGGCTTTTCCTCCACCCCTCCTCAGCGTGTGACTTACGTGAGGAGGCTTATGATCTGAATGTTACGTAAGGTGTCTTGGGTAATGAGACACCTTCTGTTTTTAATGACTGTGGTTAGGCCACCTAACTGTAGGGGTAGCACACATGTCGGCTTTTCTCCCTATTTAACTTTACTGACTCTATAGAAGTTACTGTAGCTTTACTTCGGGACTCATGTCTCTAAAAAAGAGCGTGTGTTCCAGACAGAGAACCATCGGTCTAGACCGACAGCTCTCTGTCTGGAAAAGAATGTGTGTGCTCGTTCACTCAGTCGCCGATTTGACAAAATAAAAATTTTGTTCTCCTCGCCGGCTGGGTGTTCGACAAGTGAGTCCTGGCCATCGAGCCCATGCTTGCCGCATATGACCTCGATGCTCAGAGTCCGCGTTTGATCAATATTTGATCTGCCTGAAGGGCCTGTGCCTGCTGGCTGGTATAGAGTGCCTGACGGGCCTTTTATACATTCTTATTTGTGTTTTGTAAATTTCATGATATAGGTTTTAAAGGTTAGGCTCTACTTATCGAAACTTCATAGTGGTAAGTCAATGAAATACGTATAATATCGTATGGCATTTTTGCCGGGGAGATCCTTTCGGATCGGTTCCGGCGCCATTTGCATCTTTAACCCTGTTTTAAGTAGCTAGTGTCGATACACACTAGTCCAGGTGGACCGACGGCTTAACGTGCGCTACGAAGCAAGGTGGACGGCTCGAATCACTTTTAGAAATGAAAATGTAGTTGTTTGTGCCAGATGGTACTCTTGGATTTCTACTCATTAAAAACTTATAACTATTGAAGACGGCATCTTGAAAAACTTATGTCGTGAAAAACTTATGTCGTAGTACTTCATCATGCTCCATCTACTCCCTGATAAGATCTTCATCGCATCTAGTGTAAAATTTTACTCAATTCTAAAGCGAAATTTTCGCTACCTTCTTCAGTTGCATCTCCAAACTCTATATCTCTTTTTTCACCGTAGCAAGCATACCATTCAAAAGGTTTAAATCTGTCTCGTTACTAAGAATTAACCAACCAGTTTGCTCCTCTCACCTAAGATCAGTTGATACTCTTATCTTTTTCTGAAAGGCGATGGATAGGGACGACTGGAGAGAAATTCTTGAGGAGGCTAGGACCGACGCAGGATTGTAAAGCCAGAATGATAAACTTTTCGTCGTTTCCAAACTCCTTTTCACCTCAGAATCCTTCAGTTTCACAAACAGATGATAATCATAGAAAGTCTAAGTCTAAGGTGAAGGAAAATTTCCCATTCTAGCGTTGAAGTTTTGCTGGGGTCGTGCCGATGCATGGGGCCGAGCATTGTCGTGAATCAGAAACAGCTTATTTACGTGTATTGTTATTGTAAATATTTTCTTTGCTTATTTGTGTTTTTCCACTCCACTATAAATTACTAGCCCACTAGCTTCACTATATGACTTACAGTAGCCGGTTACACATCTACTGTTATTTTCTCCTTGTTTTGAGATTTGTTCTAATTTTTTGTTCTCTCCTAAATTTGATCTCTGTCCAAAACAATATTAAGTTTAGTAGGTTACATCTTTTATTAAGCACGTTTTTTTATCTTTTATTACTTAACATGTAAAGTTCTTTCTTCGTCTTCTTTCTCTCTCTGTTTTTCAATGTGCTCCTGTAAGTTGTCGTTCCATCGTTTTCGTGGTCTTCCTATTGATCGTCTTTCTATTGGGAAACCATCTCTTGCCGTGTTTACTACTCTAATTGTTGTCATTCGACTTATATGATCGTTCCATTCTACTCTTCTATTTCTTACCCAGTTCTTGATGTTCTTCACCTTGCACCTATGTCGTATATCTGTACTTCTAGCTCTGTCTCATAATGTCTTACAATCAACTTTTTTGTTTTCATATCTGCTCTTTCTAACATCCTTTTTGTCCTCTCTGTGTTAGGTCGTGTTTCTACCGCGTATGTCATTATGGTCTGATGCCTGTTTTGTAAATTCTGTCTTTCGTTTCTTTCCCGATATTTTCATTTCTCCATATTGTTTCATTCAGGCAACCTGTATCTCTGTTTGCTCTATTCATTTGATCTTCCACTTCAGTTTCGAGCTTTCTGTCGCTAGATAATATGATGCCCAGATATTTAAACTCCATCATTTGTTCTATTATCTGACCTTTACACCAGCTCCAATTGACATCTTGGTCAATTTGCTGTTGTAACTATGCATTTTGTATTTTTTGGAAAAATTAAGATGTTAAATTTTTAAAATAAATTTTTTTAAATCTTTTATAGGTCAAAAATCTTTTTTAAAAATCATTTATTATACATTACAGTCAATTGTAAAACATATCTTAGACCCTTAATTGAATTCGGATATAACATGAAAAAGAATAATTGTTTTAATATTAATTTAAAAGTCAGTACACTGGTTAACTATATAACTCTATAGGTACTACTTGGTATGTCATATCTTGAACACATCGGAAGACGGAATACATACACTTACTATATACTACTGTTTGTAATAAAACCTTATGAATAATTTTTACAGATAGTTACGAGTGGCGGGGGCGCCGGTGATAGTTCCGAATCCCATGATACCGATCCCCCCGAAGATACCGATAGTCCCCCTGTTACCAGACGCAGACCCCCCGCTTCCAAAAGATCCAGACCGTATTCCGAACTGCTTAACCAAGTTCTTATTGATAAGTTTAAGGTAAGTGAATAGATTGATGAATGATATTAATTTTAAAGTAATTTAAACAGAAATGATATAATTTGTTAGATGTTTTGAAAATTGGCTAAGGGTTGACCTTTAACTTCATTAACAAGTATATGTACATGTGAATATAAATATATCATTAATCATTGTTTAACTTAATCGTCCTTTCTTATATTTTAATTTATAATCTGTGTTTTTCGTCATAAATCTTGCACGGAAAAGTCACATCATGTGATATAGCTCAGTCTGGTTATGCAAAAATCATCGATATCACGGCAAAATTGTTCGCAGATATCTGAAGCTTTTAAGACAGGTGGGTGTTACTAGATAACGAATAGATAAAAAAGTACTCGTATTTTTACTTTGCATTTTTTTTAAACAATAATTTATGGTCACAATTTGATTTTTTGTCTAGTTTTTTCCCTTATGTCTCCACTACACATCGGCAGACGCGTCTGCGGACGCATCTGCAGATGTATCATCACAAGCTGACCACACATCTGGACACATCTGTAAATCTTTCAGTCTGTATTAATTCCCGGGAGACGCAATATCTACGCGAGCATTAAAAAAATGGATATTGACGTTGAGACCATAGCTGCCACAGCTATATGCCTATTTAGAACGTTCAACTACCACTTGAGTGTACATCGGAATAGAATCATTAAAAAAATGGAAAAGAAGAAGTCAGATGGTGTGGAAAGGCGTCGGACGTCCGCACCGAAACCCTTTGATCTGTGCTAAAAAAACCGACAACAATCGAATATCTCGCAGACGCATCCGCGGACGTGATTATAAACAACAGATGATCAAATTACCCCATCTACCCATCTCCAGATGCATACGTAGATGTCGTCCGCGGACGCGTCTGCCGATTGTAGAGGATCCATTATATTTTTACTTAAACAATATTTATATCATTTTTTTATATCCTTATTTTCCCGTTTTTTAAATTAAAATTGATAAATAATTTACAGAGATATTAGCAAAAAAGCAGTTTTTTGCACTAATTTATAAATTTTATTAATTTTTTTATTAACAAAATAAAATGTTATTAATACATTTGAACATCGAGGAATTACTGTCTTTTAAATTTGTGCGAAATTTCTCCCCGATCGGTCAAATATTTTAAAAGTTATTTAATTTATTTATCCTTGAGGCTAAATATTGAAACTATTGAACTTGCTCTATTAATGATGCTAGACACATTTAGCAAATTTCATAGGATTCTTTAAGACTTAAACTATCTCAGAAGTTAAATGCATATTGCGTTTTCATCGAAATTATTTACAAAATAAACGTTTGAAAAAGGGTATGTTTTTTACTTATAAGCAATTTATAACTTCTATATTTTTTAAGCTACAGAAGTGTACGTACAACCATTGGTTAACTGGTAAAAAGACTCACATTAAAAAACAACCTTCTATGACCAATAGAGAAAAAGTTAGAGAGTATTTTTAAAATAATCATATCTCCTTTGTTTATAAACATTAAGAAATAAAATTTGCACAGTTATAGCTATCAAATTCATCCAATATTTCGAAACTTACAGCACCTCGAAACGAAAGTACTTTCGAAAGATCAACATAGGAACATGGAAGGGATAACTGTTTCAGCTCCGTTTTTTGTTTTTTCGAGATCGGAACTTCCGGAACAGAACTATATTATCTCGGCTTCCATTCCAACTAGAAGCCTCTTTTTTAATCTGGGTAGCTTGTCGAAATATGAATAACTACATAGTTTTCACTGGCCGAGAAATATGGGAAACCTCGGAAAAATTGAGTCCATTTGAAATTCCCCGTAAAGTCTTACTTTTTTAATTTGGCTCTATAGAATAGTCTGTCGCAGTATTAATAATGAGGACATACTTTACATGCCTTCTCTTCTATGCCTTCTAAATCATTAGTACTGTACAACTAATGGACGTTATATCCCCTATTGTAACATCTGGAACTAGAGGGTGAGAAAATCTTCACCACTGTACAACGCTGTTACCACTGTAATATACTGGTAATGAACCTTAAAGGATGCTGTATCCCTGCGAGCGGCTGCAAGGAATACTGGTCCCACTAGTCTGGAGGGCTGGCTCGCCTTCGTGGATTTACGAGAAGGTAAGGAACTTCGGAATAGAGGTTAAGGACTTCTAGGTCTCAGGTCCTGTAAAGAGTTTGAGTCTCTGGGCTTACTTTAGAAGTCGGATAAATGTATAAGCCGAAATTTGGTACTCTTCTGGTCTCTGTCTGAATCGGTCGGAAGGAACATAAAACCAATTTTAGAGTCTACAAATGTATTGAATATACTATGTGGTTTACAATTAAGTTAACAAACTGTCAGATATAAGTAATAATAACTCGTTCGGCGCGAAGTATAATGATACGCCCTTCAGTTCCTCCGGAAATCGGATTTCTTTCAGTACCCGACACTTATACGGAACTATACCCCGTCGAAATATATCAATCGCGTGTAATCCGCACCTGGTGATACTCTCGTATTAACCACCCTGCCCGAAGACACCTACTGCCCGACTCCTCTGTTCTTCTTGTTTTTATTGAGCTCGTATTTTCAATGCCAGTTATAGTGCCAAGGTCGTGTTTTCGCTGAGTTGTAAGTCCTATGCGTTATTTGGGTCACGAGCGGTGTTATTTTTGCAACAATAGTTTCTGTTTGACGTGCTTTTTCTACGTTTAAACAATTATCAAACAATGCACTAACTAGGTCAATTTCTTTGTGTAATTTAAAATGTATACTTTACTGTATTAACTATCCCTTATTTGATTTGGAATATATAATAATTATTAAAATGATTATTATTCTCCCCTATGCTACAAACCTTTATTTTAATCTTTACTTTCTTGCTATGTTTACATTACAGTACCTATTTTATAAGCTAATGAATCGATACTTTCGTCATCAGATAATGTCCCAGCAGTTGTAACTCTATCATCGCACGTAACATAGTAATCAAAGGATATTCTTGATTCAGAGATCACTTTATTCCCTTCTGCAGGAGGTGAAAAAATCTTCGGTTTCAGTTTCATCATGGCTTCCAATGCATCTATAGTATATTTTTTTTTTCTTCCATATGTTCCTCACAACTTATTTGCGATGTAATGAATCAAAGGTTTTAATTATACCTTGATCCATAGGCTGTAATTTTTATGTAGTATTGGCGGAAAGATGTTTAAACGGCTTTCGTTTGTAGAATATCATGATGTGCTTTACAATTAAATTATCAATGAATAACAAGATTTTTCTTTTTTCTTTGTTCATTGCTTCATATATCAAAGGTACTGAATGAGATCTTGAACAACAACGACATGTTTGCTGTTTAGGAAAATAGTCAAACGTTCTCTGGCATGCTTCCCACCATTGCATTTATCATTTTTAAAAGTTAGAGTCTTATCAGAAAGGCATTTAAAAAGCAGCTCGATATGGTCAAATCAGGTACGATTGGTTTTGTAAAGCGAGAAGTAAGAACATTCCATTAACTGGACCGATAAATAAATGAAAGAGCTTTAGAGGCGGCGAAAGAACTCAATTTTGCTTAAGACATAACATTAAATTTATAAAATAAACAGTACGTAATATAAACTCATTCTGACAAAAAAAACTTTAAAAATAAACTGCTATGTATAACGGGTTGCCTATACTTAGTTTGTATTATATCGTTTAGAGAAGGATATTATAACTATAATTATATCTATCTATAATTTAATACATTATTTACTTATGATCAATGATATATCGTTTAGAGAAGGGTATTATAACTATAATTATATCTATCTATAATTTAATATATTATTTACTTATGATCAAATATGGATATCATTATACAATATGAAAAATAGTATCTATTTACCAAGGAGTGTGCCAACGGTTTTGTTTATAAAATACAAGATATAGACGAAAATCGATAAATTCTAAACTTGGTGAAACTTTAAATAAAAGTTTTAATTTTTTAATAATTTTAATATTTTATTTTCAACAATAATTAATAACGTTTAAAATGTGAAATAATTTTATAGGACGTGTTCAAAATGACCTACTTCTGCTTAAGCACAAATGTCAAACAGTCTAAGCAATTTATCTGTACATACCTAATTATCTGTGGCATAATCAGGGTACACGTTTGTCTAATTTTACTTTTTAAATCGTCTACATCTGTAGGTTCTTCGTTAAAAAGGACTCCTTTTAATAGCTCCATACAAAAAAATCTAAGGGTGATTCGTTAAATCCAATTCATCTGTTTGGTAATGTAGCATGAAGGTAATTGACTACAATACCGTTGTTATGTAGGAGTGTGTCAACTTGTTGCCATATCGTAATTCCTTTTTCGCGTAAATGAATATTTTCCAGTGACAAAGGTAGCTTATTTTTCAGAAAATTCAAATATCTCTAACTATTTAAACATTGTTCAAAAAAATTTGAGCCTCTTAAAAGCCCAGTAAATAAACCACAAAAAATTTCGCATCTAGTTTGAAAGCGTTTTTTTCTTAATCAGTACGAATTTTCCACTTACCAATCATGCGAGTTATGGTGATTTACAACCCCAATATTATGAAAACAAGCTATATCACTTCACAAAATTCTGGTTAAAAAATCATGAGTGTTTTGCATCACTTTTATTATATCGATGAAGATTAGTCTTCGATCCAAATCAGTGGATTGCAATTACAGTTGCAAGAAACATTTAAGTAATTTCCTGTCCTTTAAGGATGTACAGAAGACGGCGTTTTCTGTTCGCGATTTGCTAGATGAAAAATCAAAAATTGCAAAACTTAGATACAACGCATAAGTTAAAATGAACAGAGAAATCATTAAAAAATTAGTTTCTTTAACTTGTACTTTAGCGAAACAGGAACTGGCTTTCCGTGGCCACGACGAATCCGATGATTCCCTAAATCCTGGAAATTTTAAAGCAATTTGGGAATTAATATTAAAATCAACTCCAGAACTAAATGACCACTGGCAGAAAAAAATATATTTTAAAGGTATAAGTGGGTTTT